AGGAATCTGGCAGCCAGAAATGCTCACGTAAAAAGGAGACTTGGAGGGGAGATAACAGAGATAAGAAATGTCTGCCCAAAGACATGCACCAGGAAAGTGGCAGTGCCTAGGCACATCGGTGGGTCACTGAGGACTGAAACCCAGGAACCCTGGCAGGTGGGCCTGGGGGCCTTGAGGAACTGGGAGCTTCCAGGCTTCATGGCCGCTGGACTCGTTTCTCTCCCACAGGTTCCGAATCTACTCAAACCAGTCTGCATTCGAGTCGCTGGCAGTGAGTGGGGAACGGCAGGTGGGCAGGGCTGTGGTGGGCCGCTAAGGCAAACCCTCCCCCCACTGGTTGCCATCTTCATCATTCCCCCTTTCAGCTGATCCCGCTGCAGACCCCGCTGAAGGCCATGCTGCAGATTGGTGTGATGCCCATGCTCAACGGTAGGGTTGGGGGCGTGCAGAGGGAGGAAGGGCTCAGTGGGCGGGCCCAGGCTGAGCCAGCTCTTTGCACCCACAGAACGGATGTGGCGTGGGGTGCAGATCCCACTACCCGAGGGCATTGACTTTGTGCGTGAGGTGGTGATGAATAATGCGGTGAGTAGGGCGTGGCAAAGGAGGTCCCTCTGCAGTCCCCCAGAGCCTGCTAAGACCTGACCCCAGCCAGCTGATCCCTTACCAACTGAGATTTCACTTCAATTTTACACCAGACCCCTCCAGCCCTTTGCACTGGTCATGCCCTTGTTTTGGAACTTTCTTCTCTGATCCCACCCCGATGCCTACTAACCTTTCAGGTCTTAGCTAAAAACTCACCTCCTCCAGGAAGCCTTCCTTGATAGTCTGATGCCCAGCAGCCCCTATTTTAGCACCCTTGACATGGAATTATGAGAACTGCTTTGCTACTTTGTTCCATTAGAATGAGAGTCCCTCAAGGTTAAGGACTCTCTTTATTTCTATACTCTGGCCTGATGATTGACAAATAGATGAGACTCCCCTCTCTGCCCTATTGCACAGGGCTTCATCACGATTGGGGCTGACCTCCACTTTGCCAAAGGCCTGCGAGAAGTGATTGAGAAGAACCGGCCTGTGGACACCAGGGATCCCCAGGCACCTAGTGCCCCTCCACCCTTGACAGCAGCTGTCTGAGCCCTTATCCCCACCCTGGCAGCTGCCACTTGGGACTCCAGCCTCTCAGCCCTGCCCTCTCCCCTCCACAGCCTGTAGTGTTACTTTTAACCCCCAGTGCCACAGAGAAGCCGGGGCGTGAAGCTGTACTCAGTTTAATTCCATAATCAATTCCAATCCGTCCAGCCCTTCCTGTGGGCTGTCCTGAGCTCCACCGGGCTCCTCGGGTGGGATCAGTGTGTGGATAAAGGCATTCTTTAAGCAGGGAGGGTCCAGGCTACCTTTCAGGAACTGCTGTGGGAATAAAGTGCTAACTTGCCCCTGGGCTGTGGATGTGAGGTACTGGGGCAGGGTCTGGAATGCTCGAGGCTGGGAAAGGGGCTTGGTTCTGGAGGCAGGGACCTGCCCCACGGCGGCACTTTGCATAAAACAGGACCCATGTCCTGGCAGAAGAGGTCACGAGGGGCTGGACCAGGCAGCATCAGGCAGCAGCCTGCGGTCAGTAGGGCTGCTTGTTCAGGAAGCGGGAGAACATGGTGAAGGCAGCTTGAGGCTTGTCGGTGGGGACCATGTGTCCGGCACCCTGGGGGGGCAAAGCGTGATGCTCTCCCTGTGTCCAAGTCCTTCATTCTTCCCAGTCCCCCCAAAACTGGTAGCCCCACATATAAGGAAACCAGAGGGCAAGCATGGCTCCTCCGGCCCCGTCACCCCTCAGCAGGCCCTACCTTGACAGTGAGGAAGGTGATGTGGGAAAAGTCCTTCACGTAGCCAGCAATCTGCTCCCCGCTTTCCCCGTAGTCCACTAACCAGGGCCGGCGCTGCACCTCCATCTGCCCTCACTGGAGAGACATCAGCCCACAGCAGCCCACAGCAGCCCCATCGCCCTGTGGCCAGCTCCCAGCAAGTCCTCAGGGCCAGCCACTCCAGGAACACCCACCCCTGTCCCCACACCCAGCTTTATCCTGGGGCCAGGAACCCGTCTCACCTTCTGGTTGAGGGAATCCACGAACCACTCATCCCCTAAGAAATTGCATGCCATGTCCACATCCCCATTGTATAACAGGATCTGGTATTTCTGGAACAGGATGGGGGGGGGAAATGTGTGTGTGGGGAGGCCTGAAATAAGCCCACGCCTATCCCTCAGGGAACCCAAGGGGCCCATCTAGATAGCAGGAACCAGGAAACTGATGTTTCTGACTGTTACAACAGGTCCAGGCAATCTGATTCCAGGGCCCATGCTTTTTTTTTTTCTTGCTATAGGGTGCATGCACTCTCTACAGGAGAGAAACAGAGATAGAGGGTAAGTGAGAAATCAACCCAAGTGAGGATGGCTACACTGTAATCCATTCTCTTCTTGAGACTTTGGGTACACATGCACACATGCCCAGTGTGGTTTATTTTCTTTCTATTTAATTAGTTTATTTATTTAAATTTGACCGGAGAGGGACAAAGTGAGAGAGAAAGTGAGAAAGTAAGCTGCCGGGTCTGGGACTCAAACTGTGGTTGGCCATGTGGAGTCCAACATTCTTAACCACCATACCACCTATCAACACCAGCCTGGTGTTTTTCAAACCGGGTCCAGGACTCGAACCGTGAAATTGGTCATATCGGATCCAGCTGCTTTAACCTCCATGCCACCTGCTAGTCCCAGGGCCCATGCTTGTACCCACCATGTTGTACTGAACCTAGTCCTAACCTGCCTCTGCCAGTGCCTCCTACTAACCTTGGAAAAGGCCCTCTCCCACTCTGGACCTGTTTGCCCTCTGGTGATAGGATCCAACAGCTCTTACTCTAAAGAATCCTCGGCTTCCCAGCAAAGCAGGCTGGGGACAAACCTGGGATCAAGTCTTGACCTTGGCAACCCTAGGACCTCACAGGTAACTCTTTGGCTTCTCCATCCTGGGGGGAACTCTCAAGGGACCCCTGGCTTGCTGTCCCTACTCACCTGTGAGGCGAGCAGCTTCAGGTACTGTGAGTTCATGCTTTGGTAGAGACGGCGGTACTGTAAGTTCACCAGGAAGCTGCCGGGAACACGCACACCGGCCCGAGGGAGACCAAGGATTGGGGGAGTAAAGAGTCAACAGGTCAGACCTTTCTTCTCCCAAGCTCCAGCCTGGTCCCCCTCTTCGGGTCTGTCATTTCTCTAGGGCTTACCTGGTTGGGAGCTGGAATTCAGAAGTCCTCAACCCACCCACCCCCAGTGAGAAATGTACAGGGTACTTGATGGTTGATATGACTGGGATGCAACTAGCATTTGGTTTCTAGGGGCCAGCTGGTATCAGACTCAAGGCATAACAGAGTAATCAGAGTGTTTGCACTGATCAGAACAGATCTAAGTGGCCCTTGTACCTGGGGTCACCATCTGACATGTGGAGGGAACAGGAGATCTGGGAGCTGGGGATGGTATTGCCGTGGGGGTTAAACAGTCTCTATTTACTAAACACAGAAGTGATAGCTACTAACCAATTTATGAGTGAATTGACCAACGATCAGTCCACTTAGGGTCAGGGAGGTTCAACATCTGCTTTTCATGCTCAGAATGCCCATGGTGCCCCATCATAAAACCCCAGCCAAAGATCCCCAAGAACCCCAATAGCCTGCCTGCCACCCTGAGCCACAAGTGGCCACAGACCCTCACCTGCACATGTCCCATCTGGGCACTTGTTCGGGGATGTGGAGGGCCTTCCGCACATAAGGGTTATTGAGGTAGGTAGAAGCGGCTGTGGTGTTGGTGCAGGGGGGGTCCATGCGCACCCTATCCCCAGTACGCAGCAGAGCCTGGGGGGTACAGGGTACAGGAAGTGGGTCAGGGTCTTCATTTCTTGCCCCGCCCCCTCCACCAGCAGGAAGCATGTGTCCTTACACACCTGGTACCATGTCTGCTTGAGTGGCAGGCGAGTGAAGATGTTGCCTAAGTCCTGGACCACAACACTGTCCGTCTCACGCCTGCAAGAAAAGTGTGAGGGGTGGATGCTGAGCTTCCAGATGGGGCTGGGTTGGGCCCAGAGAGCCCAAGGCAGTACCTACCTTAAATGGCCTGGCACGCCTCCAGCACACGGGGCGTAGAGGTTGTAGATGTTGAGGCCAGAGCTGGCCACAATGCGGGATACTTCGTGAAGCTGCAATGACACACCAAGCGGTGCTTTACGGACCCCTGGTGGCCTGCACAACCTCGCCAACATAACCCAGGGTGTACCGTGGTCCTGCTTTGCTTCTAGTCAAAAATTCCTCACCCACTTTTTTTCACAGGTAGGGAAACTGAAGCTCAGTGAAAAGAATCTTCCAGACCTGAGAGTTCTAAATCCTACCACTACTGTTCCCTTGCACTCTGACTTCAGGCAAGTGACTTCAAAATCCTGGACCTCAGTGTCTCCATCTGGGGAAGGTGGCTAGGAGGATGGCTCCACAAGGAGAGTCTTGAAGACTTAGTCTACAGAGACACAGTTCGGCCAGGGCCTGGCATAGCATGGGCACTGGGTAAATGTATATGACCCCCCGCACAGGGTCATAGATGAGTCCAGAAAGTCACGAGTGGTGGTGATGGGAATGCACACAGATTCACATCCCAGAGGACACCAAACTGCTGAAAGGCAGGATAGGAAAGCAAAGGGGGGAGGGGGGGATGGGGAGTCCTCAGGAGGGCATAAGGCCCTGTTCTTGGGATTAAGGACAGCAGTGCTGATACAAAGTTGGGCAGAAGCTCACACTGTTCACGCATTCCGGGTCTTTGTTGTCATAGAAGTTACACTTGTTCTGAGAGCAGCAGTGGGTCTGGAGGGAAGACCAGAGCCTGTGTGGTATCAGTGAGAAGGCTTAGCCCATGGTGGACAGCAGAGGATACCCCGCCGCCCCCCTCCACCCTCCCACCGCCTTCCTCTACCCTCCCGAGTCAGGCACTGGCTCCAAGGCATGAGGGAGGGTAGCACAGGCTTAGTTTGGAGGTCACCAAAGCTGCCCCAGGGCCACAGACAGCCCTCAGTCCCTTTAACTTCTGAGCTTCGTTCTTTGGCCTTTCAGCACCAAGCCCTCAGAATAAGCCCAGCCCCCACCTTCTGCTCACAAACCAGGGCCAGGCCTGGAATAGCACGTGCCAATCAGAGACCACGTGACCGACCCCACCCAAGATTGCCCAACAGTCCATCTCCATACCTGTTTCCCAGGAGGCCATGGTAGTAGGCAAAGTAGACCAGGGAGTTGTCATTCTGCTCATAGGAGGAGAGTCCATTGCCCACAGCCAGCCCCTGTGAAACACCCAGGTGCTCAGCTCATCTGCAGTGGGACGAGGAGCCGCCCTGACCTACACCCAGACCTGCAGCAATCTGGAAGATTGTGGGGGTGGCTGGGTGGGGAGGCTGCTCAATGTAAAGCACAGAGCTGGCAGTCTGACAGGTGAGCTTCCTGTTGTGGGAGGTATGCAAACAGAGTTAGGGCACCTAGTGGCAGGGAGGTTGGGTGCCAACTGGTTTGGATGGGGCATGGACTAGTCCGACCTTGCTGACCCCAAGGCTATGGCCTCACGATGCCTCCCTCCCTCCTGCAGCTGCCCTGCACCTGGAGGTTCAAACTGGGGTCCTGCATGACCAGCACGGCCAGGGTGGGAATGTAGATGCCAGCGTAGCTCTCTCCTGTTAGGAAAAGTTTATTGTCCTTGTACTCCGGAAAAAGGCGGAAGAAATCTTTAAGGGCCTCGTAATTGCTCTGGGCGACCTGGGGGTGGCAAGATGGAGGAAATCAGGATTTGGCATCTGATCTGGAAAGTGCGTCGAGATAATGACACCAACTCACCCTGTTCGTGCAAGAGGAAGTGACTTGCCCATGACCACATAAGATAGCACATGACAGCCAAGAATGGACTCCCAGGCCATGTAATCTTTCCCCCCAGTTATGCCACTGGGGCATTATGGGCAGGCACCAGACTCACCTCAGTGTCATTGGTCACATACAACTTGTCATCAGAGTAGGAGAAGCCCACCCCAGCTGGGGACTCAAGATACAGCATGTTGGCAATCTAGAGGGCGGGGGAGATGAGCTGAAGCAGTCCCCCACCCCATCCAAGTGCCAGGACACCCCCAGGACCCACCGCTCCGCTATACCAGGTTCCAAGAGTAGGGGTTGTACTCCAGGCTGGCACCATCTGGCTGGACCTGAGGAGGAAAGAGATGGCGAAGGAAGTCCCAAGGGTCAGCTGGGTTGGGGGACAGACAGTTGAGCCAATGTGACAGGTGAAAAAAGGCTGAGGATCGGGAAAGACACATTTCTGGAAAATCACCAAGTCGAAGGACCTCCCCAACCTTTCCTAGGGAGCGTCACTGTCTTCCCTGGTTTAGGGGAGGGGAGAGCTGCTGTCCACTCACCAGAAAAGGGCCGTGCTCTGTGAGGAGGCCATCTAGGGAACTGCAGCCCGGACCCCCATTGAGCCAAAGCACCACAGGGCTGTTCTTGGGGTCCTCCTGGGATTCCACGAACCTGGGAGGGGGGGTTAGAGCAGAGTTAGCACAGATGAAGACGTCTCTTCCAGTCTTCCTGGATCCGAGGGGCCCTGGGGGGGGTCTTCTGAAACCCTCTGTCATCACCACCACCCTCCAGCAAGGGCTTTGCAGCGTCCCCTCCCAAGCTCGCCCTAAGAGGCAGGGCGCCAGACCAGTAGTGGAGATGCTTGGAGCCGGATCCTCGGAGGTAGCCAGAGTACTGGCGGAAAGACGGCTGCTTGCTTAGCCCCGGGAGACACTTGATCTCGTCCTGCTCCGGGGCGGCCTCGCCTCGGCGCGCCCACGAGACCAGCAGTAGCAGGAACAGCGGCGACAACTTTGGCCGGACCATCTGCGAGAAGCAGCAGCGGGCAACCGCTGTTTACACGCTCCGTCGATCCTCAGGGCTTCTGCGCTGCCCCTGGGGAGGAACTGGCGGCACATCCGCCAGGGAAGCCCCGGTCCCCCGGCCCCAGCCCCAGCCCCTGTACAGCTTTCGCAGCCCCTGTACAGCTTTCCCTCCCAGCCACTTGAGCCTTCTCCGCGACGCACCGACCCGGAAATTAGGGATCCCTTCCAGCCTCCAAGGTCCGCTCACCTCTGCTCGCGGCGTCCTAGCTCTCACGGAAGCGCCTGGAAGCTGAAGTCATGTGTACTCGGAGTCACGTGAGCTCTGGAGTCATGTGACAATTTCCCTCCTGGCCCCTCGTTGGACTGCGAGTTCGGGGGTGGGGTGTCGGTCAGGTCAATGCCCAAAGTCTGCAGACTGCATTGGTCGTAACCCGCGCGCTGGTGATCACATGACCCGGGTGTGGGCAGCCAGGTTACCCCAGCCACCCCGGGGTGCTCCCTTTTAGGTGGAATGGCTGAGCAAGCGGCGCTAGGACCCCCGGAGAGTGACAGATTCAGGGGAAATGCCTCACATAGTTCCCCCAGGTCACCATCTGATCTCGCGGCCCAAAATAGCCGCTGGCGCCTGCTGGCCTGCCTCAGGGCGGGGAGATGGCTGCTGCCTCCGAGCCGGTGCTGTCCGGTGCACCCTGGGCACCCGCGCGCCCAGAACCCCCTCCCACTCGGTTCCACCGGGTGCACGGTGCCAACATCCGCGTCGACCCCTCTGGGACGCGGGCCACGCGCGTGGAGAGCTTCGCCCACGGCGTGTGCTTCAGTCGCGAGCCGCTGGCCCCGGGCCAGGTGTTCCTGGTGGAGATCGAGGAGAAAGAGCTGGGCTGGTGCGGGCATCTGCGCCTCGGCCTGACTGCGCTGGACCCGGCTAGTCTGGCTGCAGTGCCTGAGTTTTCGCTGCCGGACCTGGTCAGCCTCGGCCACACCTGGGTCTTCGCCATCACGCGCCACCACAACCGCGTGCCTCGGGAAGGCCGCCCAGAGTCGGAGGCAGTGGCCCCCAGCCGACCCCCGGCCCTCCTGATGGAACCGTATCTGTGCATCGAGCAGTTCCGAATTCCGCGGGACCGCCTAGTGGGCCGCAGCCGGCCAGGGCTCTACAGCCACCTCTTGGACCAGCTCTATGAGTTGAACGTGCTGCCTCCCACTGCGCGCCGCAGCCGCCTGGGCGTTCTCTTCTGCCCGCGCCCAGATGGCACGGCCGACATGCACATCGTCATCAACGGCGAGGACATGGGCCCCAGCGCCCGGGGGCTGCCAGCTGCCCAGCCTCTCTACGCAGTGGTGGATGTGTTCGCCTCCACTAAGAGCGTGCGCCTGGTCCAGCTCGAGTATGGCTGTAGGTATTCCACCCTCTGGCCAGCAACCCCTCCTGGGCCAGTGTGGGGACAGGAACCTGCTAGGACACCCTACCTAATTTGTTCTATCCAGCACAGTTTAGAAGTGGGAGAATCTGAGCCCAGCAGATGGCGTAATGCTTGTGTCTCGACTCCCACCTAGCCCACGGTGGTCTGAGTCCTGGACCTGGTGGCTTAAACACTCAGCTTGGAGCTTATGCCCAAAATCCCAGGAGGAGAAGGGTTTGCAGTGTGGCCATCCCCCCTGGGGCAGGGGTGATTTCTCACTTTCTGTCTTTCTGGGAAGCACAAGCGCCCTATAGCAAAAAATCTTTCAAAAAGCAAAACAGAAAACAAGAAGTGGGAGAATCTGGCTTCAAACTACACCTCTGTTGTGATCTTGCACAAGTCACTCCCTTGGGCCCTGGGCCTCCAAATATTCATCTGCATCAGTTAAAATGTCATTGTTGGGGCCAGCAGGTGGCATGGTGGTTAAAGGTAGCTGGATCCCATAAGGCCTACTACATGGTTTGAGTCCCAGATCAGGCAGCTGAAGACTCACACTGTGAGGAGAGTGGAGGGGACGGGATTGTGGCATGGCCATCCCCCATGGGTAGGGGGAAGGGAGACGCTGACAGGAGAGCACATGCCCTATGGCAAACACTTAAAAAAAAGAAACGGCATTGTTGGGCCAGCCCCTGGCATAGTAGTTAAAGGGAACGGATCTCACATGGTCCAAGGAGAGGCTGTAGCCTGCAGACCTGGTAGGCACCCAGTGTGTGTGAGTGCCTAGAGAAGGGAAGGGATTGTGGGGTGCTTTCTCACTTTCCTTCTCTGGCCAACACATGTGCCCTCTGGCAAATTAAAGAAAAATAAAAGTAATCCTTTGATCATGTTTTCTGTATTAACTTAGGGTAAGGATTCTAAACAGATTTTTTAGATCTTGGGCCTCCTTGGCCTTTAAGAATGCTCAGATTTAGGCACATGATTTTATTCTTCTTTATTTATAATAGCATGGTGTATACTCTTAGGAGAGTCAGAGAGAGAAGAACACTCTACATGGGGTCTGGTCATGCTGTGATCCCCTGCATCCAGTCCTCCAGCTCCTCAGATCTTGGGCAGAGTGTTCGAGGTGTTTCAGGCTGTCCCAGCTGGGATTCATTCGAACTGTGGTCACCACGTGGGATCCAGCTTCTCTTGAGCAGTGTATTACCACCAGGCCATTGAGCCAGCCCAGGGGCGCAGCATTTCCAAGGCAGGAGAGCTCCTTAATCCTGCGGTCTGGTTCATTACAGCCCTGGTGAGCTCCCATTAAGACCACATTTCTGAATTCAGTGAACTAGAACCTATTCTGTGCCAGGCATGTGCCATAGGTGACCGTTGCACCGGCACATCAGAGAAGACCACTGCCCCAGAAACTAAGTGAAGGGGGAAGGGACTGTGCTGAGTGTCAATAGAAACCGGCTGCAGCCCCGGAGAAAGCTCAGGAAGAGGTGCTTATCTGAGCCATAGGAACAGCCCGGTGAAGCAGGCTGGGCCCAGAGAGCAGAAGGGACTTGCCCGAGCTAATGGCAAAGTGGGGACCAAGACCCAGATCTTCTCAGCCTCAGGCCCACCCTCCAGTTCAGTTTGCCTTTGACAGCCTTCTCTCCACAGTGCCATCCCTGCAGACTCTGTGCCGCCTGGTGATCCAGAGGAGTGTGGTGCACCGGCTGGCCATTGATGGGCTGCACCTGCCCAAAGGACTCAAGGATTTCTGCAAGTATGAGTGAAGCCTGCCACCGCCCTGGAGGGGGGCCGCAGGAGTGCATCCTGGCCCCAGAGCAGTGGCCAGTCTGAAGCTGGCTACACCGCTGCTAGCCAGGACCAGAAATAAACAGCTGGTGCGGACTCTGATCACTGGAGGGTGTCCTTGCCCTGCAGCCTGTGAGGGGCACTTCTCTTAGAATCACTGCGGGTCAGCGGGTCAGAGCGAGAGAGAGCATTTTAGATCTCATGTAGGGTAACGGTTCCTGGCCTGGTACTCATTAGAATTATCTGGGATACTAACAGAATGTCTCTGGAGATTCTCATTTGATTTGTTGAGCGATGAGACCAGACATTGCTTTTTTTTTTAAATTAAAAAATTTGTATGTGTTATAGGGCATGTGCACTCTCCAGAGAGAGAGAGAGAGAGAGAGAGAGAGAGAGAGAGGGAAAGTGAGAAATCACCCTCCCATGGGGGGATGGCCACGCTGCAATCCCTTCTTCTCCATTCTCTCAGGACTTTGGGGATGCACGTTGCATGCCTCAAGCCACTGGGTCCAAACTCGAGCTGTGCAGCCGGCCATGTGGGATCCAGCTGCAGAGCCATCATGCCACCTGCCTGCCTCTAGACATTGCTTTTTGTAAATACTCCCCTGGGGAGTCTAGCATTCTGGTTTAACTGACCTGGAATGGGTCTGGGCATCAGGATACTCAGTGCTTCCCAATCTAAAGTGCAGCCTGGGCTGAGAATCGGTGTTCTTAGACCAGCAAAGGCCCAGAGATGAGAATGTATTCATCAAAGGTCACACAGCAAGTGGCTGCAGGCAGTGAGGCAGTGTGCTCCTTGTCTCACTGCAGGGCACAGAGCACTAGACGCCTTTATTTGTGTCTGGTCATTTGCTCCCACACGTGATCTTATTTTTTTTTAGAGAGATTTTTGCTATAGAGTGTGTGTGCTCGCCAGAAAGACAGAGAGAGACAGAAAGTGAGAAATCACCCCCGGGGGGGTTGGCCACACTGCAATCCCTTTTCCTCCATTCTCCTCTCGGGATCTTGGACACGCGCCTGGCATGAGTTTAAGCCACTGGGTCTGGGACACGAACCACGGTCGGCTACATGGGAGTTCAGCGACATAGCCATTACGCTAACTGTTGGTCCCCCACACTTGATCTTATTTCATCCTCACAACTAGTGAGGCAGAGAGCAGTCATCACACACACTTTACAGATGAGGATAGCAAGAAGCAACTGCCCGGGTGACCTACCCAAGGTTAGGGCAAGAACCTAGAACCCGGGTCCTGGTCCAGTGCTCTTCTAACCCCATCCCATTGTCATATCAAGGTTCTAGAAGGAACAGGCCAATGCTGTGAGGTGGGTTCCGGGTGCAAAGGGGAGGGACTGTGAGGTAATGTTCTAGAAGGGTGCAGAGAGTGGGACAGGAGGCAGATGACTATTTCCTCACAAACAGGGGCTTTGGGGCAGCCATGTCCTACTTCATGTCTCCACAAACTCATCCGGGTCTTCTGACTTCTGGCCAAGGTGAGAGGGGCTCCTGGAATCAGAAGGGGCACAGCAAGTTCCCCTGAGAGGTTGCATCCTGGCTCTGGGGGTTAGAGGTTCTGCTGAGCATTCGGGGGGTGTCCCTGGAGTTAATTCTCAGAAGAAAAGCCATTCCATAAGTCCTTGCCCATCAATAGCAAGTCCTTGCCACTTGCTTACTCATTCGTTCAACTGACACTTCTCCATCACCCGCTCAGTGTCCGGGACACGGGTTGAGTAACAGCTAGTGCCCAACCTCTAGACAGTCCCCTGGGCTGGTCTTAATTGCTCCTGCTTCTATGCCCTGCCCCTCAGGGCTGCTCCTCAAAGAGACCAAGAATAACATCCCATCTCATTCCTCTCTGCAGGTGGGGCTGCTTCTCCGGGATCATCCCTGGGCCTCTATAGCCATGTAGAGCCAGTGGTGGTGGCCTCTGGTGGACTAGGCCCACTGCGCCAGAAAGCTGAGCAGGTGATGCCTGCTGCCCAGACGTGGGGCCCAGTCCTGGCAGTACCGGAAGCCAGGGGTTGCCCTGGGGGTGCTGGCTGGGAGACACCACGGAGGAAGGAGTACAGCAGATACTGCCACAAACTGCCCCCAGTGAGGCAGCTGGAGAGTTTGGGCTGGGAAGATGGCTGTTCCAGAAGCAGAGCTCTACACCTGGGTGGTCCCAGCAGGCCTGGGCCCCTGCTGCTGTGTGGGCTGTCACCAGGGATTCTGCCCATACCCTCTGAGGCAGGGGGAAAGGAGGCCGGCTCTCAGCCTGACATCTGCATCCTTACCCTGGCCATGATGATTGCTGGCATCCCCACTGTGCCCGTCCCAGGCCTGCGGGAAGAGGATCTGATCCGGGCAGCTCAAGCTTTCGTGATGGCCCACCCAGAGCCAGAGGGAGCCGTGGAGGGGGCACAGTGGGAGCAGATGCATGCCCACACAGCCTCTGGGCAGATGACCCTAGTGAGATCCAGGAGGGGCCAGCATCCTGGCTCTTGCTTGTAGCTGGATGAAATAGCACCAGACATATAGGGTGGCTTCTCTGTATGGTTTTTGGGTTGACAGGGTGGGGAGGGGTGGGCAGGGATGGGGAGAATGTGGGTGGCTGAGCCACTCTTGACGGAGTCCAGTCCTCTACTGGGGCGCCAGGCCCCAGGAAGTCACTCCAGATACCACTAAGCCAGGGGATAGGTCTTGTCATAGAAACGATTAAAATGACCTGAGAGGGGCCAGCAGATGGCATGCAGGTTAAGGTGGCTGGATCCAACATGACCGACTGTGGTTGGAGTTCTGGACCCGGGGCTTGAAAAACAGCGTGTGTGTGTGTGTGTGTGTGTGTGTGTGTGTGTTTGTGTGTGTGTACGTGCCCATACACATACCAATCCTGAGGGGCTAGGGATTGCAGCATGCCCCCCCCCGGGGGGGTGCTTTCTTACTTTCCCTCTCACTGTGTGTACATACCCTATAGCAAAAAAGGAAAGAAAAGACGTGCCCTAGGCAGGGAGCCCCACTCGAAGAGAAAAGGCTTCTTTTATATTGTTTTAAAGACGATCCGAAATTTCTTGTATACAGGCTAGGCAATGTATCTGTCTTAAGTTACCCAGCCTGTTGAGGACAGGTGATAAGACCCTAGACAAGGAAGGAAAATTAACTTAGCTGAGTACCCCCCCGACACCTGGCCCATTACATTACTGCTCTTTAATCTTACTAACCCCGTGGGGATCCCCAGTTGTACAGATAAACAGAGGCTTAGAGGTGACTTGCCCAGAGTTCTAAAGCCAGTAAAAAGGCGGAAAAAGAGCTGATAAGTCAGGCAGGCCAGGATTCAGATGTAGGGTCACGCTATGATAAGCCCTAAACGGAAACAAGGAACTAGACAAGTGCTGGAATAAGCAGCATGCAGCCTTACTGACCCCAGGATGAGCAAGGAGAGAATGCTGGGAGCCACCTCCCGTGAGGGGCGTCCTCTGTGGGGAATCTCCCAGGCCGGCTCATGCAGGAAGGTGGGTCAGGTGAGCTATCTCATGACCGGCAGCTGCTACCAACCCCAGCCTGCAACAGATCATCTTATCTCTTCACTTACTGGGGGCCAGGGGGTGGGGAGCAGCAAATGCTTTTGTAAGACCCTTGAGCTAAGAATGGTTTTTATCTTAAGAAAAAATTGTCAAAAATAAACCAAACTGGGGCAAGCAGGTTGCCCGAAAGTTAAGTAGTCAGCTGGATCCATTTTGCTGACTCCATAGTTTGAGTCCCAGGCCCTGCGGTGTTTCACGCTAGGCACAAGTGCATGAGTGCCCAAAATCCCAAGAGGAGAGTGAAGGAGAAGGGAATGCAGTATGGCCATTCTCTGGGGAGTGATTTCTCATTTTCCCTCTCTTTAGCTCCCCAGTGTGCACACAAGCCCTATAGCAAAACCTAAACACTAAAAACTAAACCAAAGAATATACAACAGAGACTGTGTGACCAATGAAGTAAAATATTTACTATTGGCTCTTTACAGAAAGTTTGCTGACTCCGGCCTTATGGAGCTGGACACATTCTAGGTAGCAGGCTATCTATGACAGAGTAGAAAATCCTGTTGTCCTTCTAGGAGGAGGACCCACGGAAGTGCTGTGTACGTGTGGGGGCGTGTGAGCGTGTACACGTGCATGAGCATCCTGGCCATTAGGCGTCATCAGAGCTGGACCTGCTCATAAGGGCCGATCCAGCTGTCAGCCAGTATCCTCAGGATGCTATACCTCCGCTCAAACTCTTCCTTGCTGCAGTGCTGCAGAAGCTGACTCACCTTCTCAGTAAGGAGAGTCACTGCCAGGTGCTTATCCAGGGTCTCACTCCACTTGCTGCCCAGGATGCCATCTAGACTGGTGGCACAGCCTGCTGTCCATTGAGCTGGCAGCATGTCGGGCTGGAGCACCTGGTGGCGGGCGCTGAGCATGGCTAGGATGTGGCGGCAGGGCAGGTGGAAGGCCTGGTTGAAGTAGCAGCTGCAGCTGGCGGGGGACTGGGGCTGCACTTTGTGGGTATCCTCCAGGATCTGGATGTTCATCTTTTCTGAGCCGGAGCCAATGAGGTGCATGGATTTCTGGACCACTGCAAGCTCTCCGAGGCAGAGCTGGGCTGCCGGCCCTGTGCAAATGGCATTGAGGGAGTGCTGGATACGGGCTTCTACCAACTGCTCCACTTTGGGGGTTTCGGGACTGGGGTCCGAGGGGTCGTGATCGTTCTGGTGACTCAAGCCCGGGTTGAAACTTGCCTTGTCTCCAGAGTTCTGTTGCATGTACTGGAACAGAGAGGCCACACCTTGTTTCTCAGATGGGGTGGTACCAAAGAACTGGCTGAGGATGCGGGTGGTGACCTCGAGGTTCTGGAAATAGCGAGTGCTCTCAGCTCGGCTTCTCCAGCGGTGCGCCAGCCAGATGCGGTCGTTGAGCAACCAGTGGGAATGGAGTTGAGGCAGCTGTGTCGGGGGGATGCAGTTGCTCAGGAGCGTGTACAGCTTCCGCAGGTTGCCTGCGGTGGCTGAGCACATCGTGTTCTGCAGGGAGGTCAGGAGCACCCTTTCCACAGGCTGTTCGAGGGACAGCTGATAGAACTTGCCCTGGAGGAACTTACAGATGTGGAAAGCTGAAAATAGAACCTCAGCTGCAGGGAACTCCATCGCTAAGATGGGGAGTGGGAGGAAGTGGGGGTCCACTAGGATTGTACAGATTCTTTCCCACACTGGGTTAAACTTCTTGAACACTTGGAACATCTGGGCCAGGCCTTCAGCATCTTCCTTGGCAGGGATGGCGAAGTAGACTGCCCGGGCAAAAGGACCTTCCAGCTGCACCCGAGGTCCATCCACCAGGAAGGTATATAGCACCTTGCCCCTGGGGTTATAGGTCCGGTGGATAAATAAGATCTCAGGGAAATGGGCAAAGACTTCCTGCATAAAGCAGCTCTGGTAGCTGAAGGTATCTAACTGGGGACTCTTGCTAAGCTGGTGCAGCAGCATAGGTGGGCCTGAGTCCTTAATCAGGAGCCCATTCAGCACAGTCAGGGCCATGGGAGAGACCTAAATGCCAAAGTCAAAATACTTTCTCTGCAGGGCTGCTGTCTGAGAGGCTTTCAGTCTCCTGAGCTTCAAGTAAGCTGAGGCTTCAGGCTGGACTGTACTTGTCAGATTTAGTTTCAAAGCTGCGCCTATGGAGAGGAACAGAGGCTTAAGGAGACAGGAAGGCATTTACTCTTCAGTTATTCATCCAGGCAATTATTTATTGAACACTTACTATGCGTCAGCAATGTTCTAGGGGGAGATATGTAATAAACATGTTAATGAATAAGGGCATACTAGATAATGAAAGTTACAAAGACCACAAAATTAAGGGACATAGCAGAGAGTAAGTTGGAGAAGGGAGGGATGCTTTAGTTAAGATGGTCAGGGAAAGCCTGTGGGGGTAGAAGGGGAAGAGGAGGATGGCTGATACAGGAGCTGAGACTCAAATGATGAGAAGCCAGCCATGCAAAATATAGTTCCAGGAAAATTAAGTAGACATGAAGGCCACAGTTATATAAGGCTTTCTTTTTTTAAATACCATCTTAACTATGTATATGGTACTTTATATTTACAAATGACTTCCTGGCATCTGGTCTTTTGTGATCCTGCTATGCAGGAGAGAACTGCAATTGCTCCAAACTGGTGTGATTTTGGGCAAGTCAGTGACCGTCTCTGGGTTTCAATTCCTTCCACCATATAATAGGGCCAACAAATGTATACAGCGCCTCCTGCTATCAGCTGCAATGCTCTATTCAAATATTTCCTCTCTTTAGCTCTACACCAGTTATTGTCCCCATTTTACAGATGAGAAACTGAAGCTCAAAGATATTAAGTGACTTGCCCACCACTACTCTGTAAGTAGCTGGAAGCCGAGTCTTGGGCTCAGAATCTTGATTACGATTCACGGCACATGGGGTCCAAAAACTAGGAGCAGAGGGAGAACACATCCCTTGAGCTCTCACCTGTAACTTGCGTGGGAGATGTGGGTGTCTGACAACCTCCCACCTCTTTGGGAGCGGTGCGAAGGCAGATCGCGGTGATCGGGTGCTTCACACCTCCACCCCTTCAGAAACCACTCACCCACAGGCTCTCGTTGTCGCCATATCTCCCTATTTGACCCTGCCTCCGAGTCTGACTGGCCCCTAGGCTCACCAATCACAGCGTCAGCCTTGTAGGACTAGAGCCAATAGCCTGCGCAGTTCGTGTTCGGGCTTTAGGGCCACGGACCAATCGTAGTCCAGTGATTCGTGGGCGGGCGCTGTTACCACGTTACAAGGGCTCGGCCTGCAGTAACCAAAGAACACCTGAGGACGCCGGCATCCAGGCCAGTCTGCGCCCTGAGGCAGGGACTTTGGCGCCTCCATTCAGCTAGACCCCTGGATGGGCATGTTACTATGGAAATTCCTTGAAAGGCTTAAAAGGGAAAGAAAAATAAATACCAGTGTTTTACAATTTCTATTTTTTCCTTGTCGAATTCCCAAATCCCCGAGGATTAGGAGAGGGTGCTTTGGTTGTACTGGGATTCTATCTTACTGGGAAACTGAATCCCAGTCTCAGACTGCCTCTTTTAGGAGTCAGGGCTCCAACTCTTGGAATTGAAGTCCTGATCTTCTTGAGAGAGCCAACCTTACTGTCCAGCCCATCTCCCGCCAGTATTTACAGAAGAAACGGGCCCAGAATGGCGCAGCGACTTGTTTAAGGTCCTAGCGGATCAGGTCCAGGGCCGACTTGACTGCCAGCTCTTGTCAGTTCCCCTGAAGATGGCAGTCTTAGAAAGCTGGTGGCTACCTGGATTTAGAAGTCAGTGTTGGCGCTTAATACTGCATCAAACGTCATTTAGGGCCGACCTCCTAGTGCAGCGGTTAAGCCCAGTGCATAGGAATCTGGATCCACATTGCTGACCTGGGTTTGAATCCTGATCCTGGTGGCCTAGGTATATGTGCATGCATACCCAAAAGCCTGACTGGATGGAGAAATGGAGGAAGAGGATTGTGGTGTGACCATGCCCAGCTGGGTTCCTCCTCCCCCCCAAGCACACACATCCTCTGGCAAAAATGATAAACAAATGTGTGTGTGTGTGTGTGTGTGTAGTTTTATATAAATGTAGAGGAGAAACTCAGGGTTACAAAAGGCCAACACACAAAGTTTTACAAATAGGAAAACCATCATCAAAGCAATTAAGGACTTGCCCACAGCCCCCAACAAGCACTGACAGTCAGGCCTAGGATCCAGGTGTCTTTCCTCCCGATCTATCTGGCCTCCTCCTGCCAGAACATAAAGTATCCTGAAATCAGTGCCGAAGCCTCAGTTGGTAGGCAGAGGGCAAAGTGGTGGACTGCTGTCTTGAAATCCAAGGCATCAGGTTCTATTTGGCTCCATAACCTCATTAGACTGGTAATTCGCATTTTCCTTTAAAACTGATATATCCACCCTCAGAACCAGAAGATGGCATAATGGCTACATTGCTGGACTCCTACATAGTCCCCGGTGGTTCAAGTCCTAGACCTGGCAGTTTAAAACTCACACTGGGTTGAGTTGTGGCCATCCCCCCAGGAGGTGATCTCTCACTTTCTGTCTCTGTCTTTCCAGTGAATGCATGAGCCCTTTAGCAAAAATCTCTCTCAAAAAAGAAAACAAACAATATATCCACCCTAAGACACCCACTCTTGACAGTAAAGTCAGGAGTCCTGCTGCTATGCAATTCCCTTTCCTTCCCTGATCAAGCAGAACACATTTCCCTTATTTGATTTGATTTTTTAAATAAAAAACTTTATTCAATATGAATAAAAACAAGAACAAATAACAGAATCTTCATAAAGAGCAGTGATAGCAAGGATCTCCCTCCCTCCCTTGGTCCCTGACAGCAGACCTATTTTGTCTCTCCCTGTCCTGGAGCAGGGGGTTCATCTGTCTAGGTCAAATAAGATACGATTTCAGAGATTGGGGAGGAAGAGAGGTGACCTTTCAGCATGGAGATTACTTTGGCCTTGAACAATGAATGAGGCTCCCAAAGAAAGCCAAAAATAGGGCTGAAAGGGTACAGATTCAAAGCACTGTCACACAGTGGGGTTCTTCTCCCTGTTGAAATAATCTTCCTAGCCCTACTAAGGAAGACAGTGGTTAAAGTGCTGACCACTAACTAGTCCTGCCCACTCGGAACTGTCCAAATTTCAATGGCAGGGGTTTGTGGTCCAATGTGCCAGTGTGAATGCTTTAATTATGAATCATGGCTGCAGCAGAAGGGAGTCCCTCCCCTTCCTCTTGCTTTCCCCAGAGAAAAGGGAGGCGACCCACATCCTTAAAGTCTCCTGGTTGATGACGGGACTCAGATGACTGACAGGGACCGGCCCAGATGTCCACAATCGTGCTCAAGGTGGAATAGCGCTCCTCCAGCTCTGGCCCCTCTGCCTGCATTAGTAGGTTGGCTAGCTCCCTGCTTAGGTCCTGGATCTTGTCATTGCGTCCTTGTTTCTCGGGCTGACCTGTGTTGGGAACCACACTATGGTCTTGGAGCTCCCCATTGGGCCCAAGGAGGTGCTGATACTTCTTCTGCCACCGGCGGCACACCATGGCTTCCCCCACGGGCTGCTGGCTGGTGTGAAGCAGGGCCAAAATGTGCCGGCACGGCAGGTGGTACCACTGCTGAAAGGAGCAGCTGCAGCTGCAGCCATCCTTGCTCACCTGCTGGGAGTCTTCAAGCAGCTGCACATCCACCGAGGAGCCGGCCATGTCCACCAGGTGGGTGGAGTTCTGCACCACCTCCCACTCGTTGTGGCACAGCTTGTAGGCTAGTTCAGAGCTCTGGTGCAGAGTGTCTAGCATGCCACCCTGGGAAGGCTGCGCCTGTGGGTGCCCCTGCAGCTGACCCTGCCGTGCCTCTGGTTTTGTCTCTCCCACAGGGGGCCTGCCAATGCTCTCCCCACAGATGCCAAAAGCCTTCTTGGACTTTGGCGGCATGCTTGCTGGCCGGGCTCTCTTCAACTTGGGAGGAGCTGTGGGCACGTTCTTTAAGCCTTTGGTATTAAAGAAGTCTATATAATCCACAAAGCGGAGGATGCAGTCCAGCAGGGACTGCTGCTCCCGAAAGAGGCTGGACACCTTGCTGGTGACGATGTCCAGGCTGTCCATGTAGGTGCTGCATGCGTGCAGGCCCTTCCTGACGTGCATGTACCAGAGCAGTTCACAGGAGAACCAGTGGGCTTGCAGGAAGCTGAAAAGATCATCCTCGAGCAGCGCCTGGGACATATGACAGAGATTTTTCAGGCTGGCATCGGAAGTGACAAACACAGCCTCCCGCAGGGCTTCTTTCATGAGCCTTTTAAAGGACGGAGTTGCCGAACTACGATGCAACTTCTTCTCCAAAAGCCGGGTGGTGTGGTAGATGGACAGGAGGATGCGGGCAGCAGGGAAGATCTCTTGTAGGACAGTCCGGTGAGGGAACAAAGGGTCCACAAAGACCACCTTGACCTTGGGCCAGTCGGAGTTGAACTCTGTGAAGATGCTCAGCATCTTGGCCACAGAGGTGGCCGTCTCGGCCCTGAGCACAGCAAAGTGCACCACTCGACCCTCTCGTTCCTTGTTCTCCACCAAGAAAGCGTAAAGGATGTGGCCCTGTGTGTTCTCCACCCGGTGCAGCAAGAGGTTCTCTGGGAAGCGGATGAACAGGTCGCTCATCTTGCTGCTCTGGAAGCTGAGCCGGTCTAGATCTTGGCTGTTGCCCACACTGAAGGAGGCCATGGAACCCTCATCTACCTTAAGAAAGTTCTTCATCACTTTCGCTATCTTAGCCAGGTCAGAAGGGGTGAGTCCCTCTTGCTCTGGCTCTGAGGGCACATGCACCTTATTTAGGCAAAATGATGGTTCAACCAGGGACTTTGTGACGGTACCAAGGTCCTTTTGGACTGTGGGCATGGGCTGGAATTTCTGCAGGCACGTTGTCTTCTGAGCTCTGCCAGTGCTGTCTCCTCCTGGGCCAGTGGTTCTGGAGTCGACGTGGGTGTGCTGGGTGTTCAGTTCACTGATAAACAGTCTATCTAGTCTCTCGCTGTACTGTAGGAGCAAATATGCTGGGCACGTGTTCGCCGCCCGTGTTTTCTTCCTGTTTGACTGGGTCCGAATACAGACAAATTTCACCCGCACATATCTAGGGAAGGCAGAGGTGACAGTGAGTGAGATGCTGACTGCCCCCTCTCTTTTAATAAGATAAGGCCCTGAAGGATTTTCAATAGGCTAATAAGATTCTTGGACACCCCAGTGTTAAATAGAATGTAAGGAAGGTTGACATGAACTCTTTGGTCTCAAAGTACTCTCAGCTCCCTCTCCCAGACCTTCCCCAGCCACCCCTCTCTCATATTCTCCTACAGCAGGCCTAGGTCCCAGTGTCTTTCCTTCCCTCCCTGGTGCTATTCGTAGATGCCAACAATTAAAGCTGAGGTCGGAGACAAGGGACCAAACACAAGGCAGCAACAAAAGTACCTGGCTTGCCCGGCTGGTTGCTCCCAGTTTAAAACGGGTTCCCTTCTACCTGCCTTTGGGAGATGCTGTCTTCCCCTCCTCCTCCAGATAGCAAAGATAATAGGAGGCTCTAAGGACAGGACTAGGCCAGTGGTTATCAGCCAAGCTCTTCAGGAATTAGGGTGTATCTGGGCCTCCTCTTAAAGAGCTATCTCTAAATGATCTGTTTTTCTTTCTTTTTCAAATTTTTGCCCCCAGGCCAGTGTGCTGGGGGCAGGGGAGAAAGAGAAAGCATATTGATACCACACTTCCTTCTCCTCCATTTCTCCCTCCTCTCAGGATCTGGGGCACTCTTGCACATGCACTTGGCATGTTTTACAAGTTGCCAAGTTTAGGAATTGAACCACAGGGTCAGCCATGTGGGACCTAGCCACCTTAGCTACTAGGCCAGAGGGTAGCCCAGTGTCTTTCATATAGGGCGCGTGCGCTTGCCAGAAAGACAGAGAGAGACAGAGAGACGGAAAGCGAGAAATCACCCCCCAGGGGGGATGGTCACGCCACAATCCCTTCTCCTCCATTCTCCTCTGGGGATCTTGGGCACACATGCACACGTGCCCAGCGTGAGTTTTAAGCCACCAGGTCTGGGACGTGAACCGCAGTCGACTACATGGGAGTCCAGCGACATAGCCATTACGCTAACTGCTGGTCCCCGAGTGTCTTTCATTTGAAGAAAAACATCCACATCCTAAGAAAGTTTGCTATCCACTGGACTAGATGATCTTTAAGGTCCCTTCTAGTTTTGCCAGTGATGATCCAAAGGAGACGGGTAATTAAATTATCTGTCCATTTTCTTTTCCTACTCCCATTCATCCCATGCTTCAAGCCCAAATCAGGTCCCCACCTCTCCAGCAGGCCTTTGTAGAGACTCTCAGACCACAGGAATTTTTCCTGACCTCAGAAGCCAGCCACCTGGATTTGAATCCTAGCTTTGCCACTCAAAGTTGTTCTGTTTTGGGCAAGTCACCTTACCATTATGTGCAGTTTCCGCATCAAAATAAGATGATCTCATTAGGGTTGTTATGAAGACTCAATGAGCCACAGGCAAAATATTTAGCCCAGAGCTTGGTTCAGCCTTTTATTATGCTTAACAGTTATTTACGATAGGGAAAAAAATTATTTTTTTTGGAGAGGTTTTTCCTATAAGTCACGTGCACTTGCCAGAAAGACAGAGACAGAAAGTGAGAAATCATCCTCCAGGGGGGATGGCCACCTCACACTTCCTTCCCCTCCATTATTCTCTCGGGATCCCGGGCACGCACACACAAGTGCCTGGCGTGAGTTTAAACCGCAGTTGACTACCTGGAAGTCCAGCGATGTAGCCATTACGCCATCTGCCGGTTCCAAGGGAAAAAAATTTAACAGACACAAGAATGACAAGTTATCTGTTGATAATGTATATGGTAATATCTTTGACTTGATTGATAAGGCACTGCATGCATAATGGAAAAAAGCATTTTGCATGCTTTAAAGATTTACCCTGGGGGCCAGCAGGGCTTTAAAGATTTACGCTGGGGGCCAGCAGGTGTTGTGGTGGTTAGGGGCTCTGGATTCCCACATGGGTAACCATGGTTCGAGTCCCAGACCTGGCGCCTTGCTTTCTCACTTTCCCTTTCTCTCTCTCTCTATCTAGTCAAATTAAATAATAATAATAGCAACAACAACAACAACAAAATGGAATTAAATAAATAAATACTTCTTAAAAAAAAAAATCTACCCTGAATGGGACCAGCAGATGGCATAAGGGTTATGTCGCTGGACTCTCATGTAGTTGATCATGATTTGAGTCCCAAACCTGGTGGCTTAAAACTCATGCTGGGCATGTATGCAGGTGTGGCCAAGATCCCAAGAGGAGAATGTAGGAGGAAGATTGCAGCATGGCCATCCCTGCTGGGGGTGATTTCTCACTTTCTGTCTCTTTGTATTTATTTCTCTGGTGAGCGCACACATCCTACAGCAAAACCAAACAAACAAACTCCAAAATAAAGTAAAATAAAATAAAGATTTATGCTAATTAAATGTAAATTTTGTTAAATACAAAACAGCAATTAGCGTAATGGCTATGTCGCTGGACTCCCACGTAGTCGACCACGGTTTGAGTACTGGATCCGGTGGCTTAAACTCACACCAGGTGCATGTGCGTGCATGCCCAAGATCCCGAGAGGAGGATGGAGAAGGGATTGTGGAATAGCCATCCCCCCTGAGGAGTGATTCCTCGCTTTCTGTCTCTGTCTCTCTCTGTCTGGCAAGCGCACGCGCCCTATAGTAAAAACCTCTCAAAAAAAAAAAAAAAATGAAAAAAAGGATAAGACCAAGAAAAGTTAAAAAAAAAAAGTTAGTTACCATTATTTTAAAAATTATTTTACTTAATTTTATTCATTATTATTATTATTATTATATTATTATTATTTAATTTGATCTGAGAGAGAGAGGGAAAGTGAGAAAGCAAGCTGCCAGGTACAGGACTTGAACTGTGCTCAGCCATGTGGAGTCCAGCATTTTTACCACCATGCCACTTGCCAGCCCCAGTTACCATTCTGATTATAGCTCTTAAGACTGTGACAGTCTATCATATGTTTATGCAGAGCCTTTCCAATGGGGTGGGATGTCTCAAGTTCAAGACTGAATTATCCCTAAGTGTGTCCAAACACCTAGCAATGCTACCGCCTCAGGGTCGCTTATCAGTGATGTGCTGTATGGATGAGGAGCACCGGTAGGTGGAATGGATTCTGCCCTTGCTCTACGGGGAGTGTCACAACCCATAGACCAGAGCGGAAAACAAAACAAAAAAATCCCTCAGCCCTTGGCCTGACACAGCACAGCCTGGGAACCCCAACCCCTCTTTCCCAAACACTCAAATCCAGCTGGTCCTGTTTGCTCACCCTGTGAGGTAAGCTTAGGAAAACAGGGTGGAGGGGCCTGGGGCCAAAAAGTCTGTACCTGTTGTGTGCATGGCGTGGGGGCAGCACCACCTCTAGCTTGGGCCAGGAAGGGCTGACCAGGCAGTGAGGGGTGACACCATGTGGCTCTGCCTGTCTCCAGGCTTGTTTTCCACCCTTTATTATCTCATTTATTGTGTCCTAGAAAGACAAACCAGGGAATAATGAGATAGGAGTTAGGCCCACTTACAGGTGGATAGGGTAAGGCCTTGGAGGGAAGCCACTGCTTTTCTTTTCTTTTTTTTTAAAAAAGAAGTATTTATTTTTTAATTCCATTTCTTATCATTGTATTTCAAATTTTAAAAAATTTAAAAGAATTATTTTAACTTTATTTACTTTTTTTTTTAATTTTAAAATTTAACCAGAGAGACACAGAGGGAGAGAGTAAAAAGGAAAGTGAGAAAGCAAGCCACCAGATCTGCGACTCCAACCGCAGTAGGCTATGTGGCAGTCCAGCGCCGCCTGCCAGCCCCTTATTATCATTTTTCAATTTGACCAAAGACAGAGACAGAAAGAAAGGGAAAACAACTAAATGTAAATTTAATGGAGAGAGAGAAAGTGAGAAAGCAAGCCACTAGGTCCAGGACTCAAACCACGGTCGGCCATGTGGGAATCCAGTGCTTCTAACCACACCCCACCCACCAGCCCCCTCGCTGCTTTTCTTTTTAATGAAGTCTATGTTTTCCCTCTATGGTCTAGTTAATGTACAATATATACTCCTTTTACATGTCTCTAAGGAATTTATGACTTCTTGCTAGTAAGGCAGGAGACAGGGATACTGATCACACACAGGGTAAAGACCCAAGATGGAGTCCCAGTGACTAAGTTTTCACGGCCAAAAAGCTGGATGCATTGGGACTCAAAGCTACTGTACCTAAGAGCAACAGTTTTTATTTAGTAACTGTATTTTTTTTAGCACTAATTAAGTACTTTATTGAATAAATACCAAACAAAACGCATTCAAATACTTCCTTAGAAAAATCACTTTAAAGGCCTTACTATTCAGGTTAGTAACACAATAAAGGCAGATATGCTAGTTTAACATAATTGGCTGATTTTAAATAGGTAACTGTATTTTTTTAAAAAGATTTTTAAAATTTTGTTTGTTTGTTTGGAGAGGTTTTTGCTATAGGATGCATGAGCTCACCGGAAAGACAGAGAGATACAGAGAGTCAGAAAGCGAGAAACACCCCCCAGGGGGGATGGCCACACCACAATCCCTTCTCCTCCATTCTCCTCTCGGGATCTTGGGCACGCACGCACACGCACCTGGCGTGAGTTTAAGCCACTGTGTCTGGGACTTGAACTGTGGTCAACTATGTGGGAGTTCAGCGACATAGCCATTACGCTAACTGCTGGTCCCAAGATTTTTAAAATTTTAACTTTATTTATTTATCTTAATTTGACCAGAGAGGGAGAGAGAGAAAGTGAGAAAGTAAGCCACTAGGTCTGTGACTCGAACCATGATTGGCCATGTGGGAGTCTGGTACCCTCAACCACCACGCCAGCCACCTGCTGGCCCTTTAGTAACTGTATTCTAAAAAGAAGTATAGAACGCTATGGTCTGCTGACCCCATAAAAAATAGGGTCATAAATCACGACTACCATATAACCATTTTCTTTCTTTCTTCTTTGAGAAAGATTTTTGCTACAGGGCATGATTACGAGAGAGAGAGAGCGCGAGAGAGAAGAG